TTAATCAGCTTCAGTGGTCTGCTGCTCAGCCGGATTGGATTGCAATTGCTTTTGCAAACAAGATGCAGCTTTTGAGGGTTTGAATTTCAGGTCAGGGAATAGCTTGCTTGTAGTTTTGGAAAACCAAATTACTCATTGCAGTGTTGTGAGTTGTGACTCATATGTATTGAGTAGTCTAGTTTAACTTGGTCATGCATTAATTAGATACGAGTCGATGACTCTTATGCTTATGCCTTATACTTTAGTACTGTCTAATGTATGCAATGGCGTCTTTTGGTGGCCTTAAACTACCACTGTCTATCATATATAAGTCTTTATCCCGATTCAAGCTTGTGAGCATAGTTTTAAATTGTTGCGATTGCAGTTGGGAGTGTTGCAATTATGGTTGTTGCAATTCGTATAATCGTCTTTGCAGGTGAATTTTAATTGAGAGATATTTAAAATATACAATTAAAAAACAATAAATATTAACTAAATTAAATTTTGGGTTATCAAATTTGAAGTTTTTGATTAAAATATTAGAAAAAATCATCTATGATTTCTAATGACAGTTAGGCCAATGGTTTTAGTTTACACTGCAATTACAGTCCAATGTGATTGCAGAAACTATCGCATGAGCAATATTGTGCAATTGCAATTTTAAAACCATGGTGATCCACGGGAACATCAATGCGGTTTTGCAATGTATTAGTAAGTATCATTAACTTACAGAAGAATACCTTTTGCGTTTCTTTGTCCCTGTGCTGCTTTCAACTCCCACTACTGGCTTATAACATGAATCCTTGAGCAAAGGAGACCTGCATATTCATGGATCACACTCATTATTTTATAAAAAATTACTTTAACAAATTTTAGGCCATACTATATATATATATATATACATACATATATATATATATATATATATATATATATATATATATATATATATATATATATATATATATATATATATATATATATATATATATATATTTTACTTGCTTCTCTTTGTTATTTCTTCAGTTTGCTTCTCCACACTCATATCTATATCCATTGTCACACCTGGAAAAAAAAACTGAAATGAATTAAAAATATGAGAAGAATAGTCTGCATCATATGAGAAGAATGCTTCTCCACAGTCATATCTTAATTCTTTCACAGGTTATACTTATAGCTGAAATTGATGTTGCATTTGCTTGTTGAATGGAAGGTGGAATTTACCAGGTTAATATTGTAATTGCTGCTCTTCTAGATGATCCGTGTTAAATTTTAAAGTTGTTTCTGTTTTGTATTCTTATGGAGCAGCTTTGTATGTATGTCTCTGTAGTAATTTTAATCACTGTTGACACTTCATTAGTTTTTGAGAAAGATGGTTTATATGTCAGAGTGGTGACAATGTAATAAATGTTTGTTTATTAAACTTTGTTAAAGCCTTCCTTCATGCCATTTATGTAGATATTTAGTCAATGAAGTATACTTGTATTCCTCAGTTTTAAGAGCTTTATTAAATTCACTTTGTCAAACACCTATTGGATCACACCTTCAAGATTAAAAGTCTTGGTTAACTAAGATACTTCATTGGCCTTAAGATTGCTAGGTCCAAAATAGGAATTTTCTTCAATAAGAGGAAGTATACTCTTGATCTCTTAGAAGTTGGTGGGTTGCTTTCCTCAAAGCCATATGATGTTCCCTTTGATTTCAACACCAAACTTTATGCCAATGATGGTCAGTCATTAGAGGATCCAACCCACTATAGTCGATTGATTGACAGACTAATCTACTTGAAAAACTCACGACCTGATATTGCTTATGTTGTCCAGCACTTAAGCCAATATGTTTCTCGTCCTTTGCTACCACACTATCAAACTTCCATAAGAATCCTCTGGTATCTAAAAGTTGTTCTTGCAAATGGCTTGTTTTCAGCTTCTAGTAATCTCAAATTATATGCTTTTACAATTAGTTACACTTACTTGTTTGGTACTTTATCACATTGCCAATTAATGAATAAACACTTTATCTTTTTACGAGTTATCTCTCTCTTTTCCAAAGCTTGTTTTAGTTCTTCTGCAATTTAACATGAAGTTAAACCTCAACCTTACTACAACTTTTAGCTTGCAAATGTATTTATATTCTAGAGAAATACTAAGGTCAGTTGCTCTACCACTCTCTATCAGCACTCTCTTATTGAGCGGGCCACGTCATGCTATTAATTGTACTTGGAACTTGATTATTGTTTCACTAAATTAATTACTTTATAAATTTTTATTTTTAATTTTGGTATTTCAAGCAGAATTTTCTTTTTTCGCGCCATACAAACACGTCTTATTTAAATATTGTCTTTGTTACAACTATTATAAAATAACTATCAATTTGTCAGTCTCCTATAGAAAGCAATTTTATCCATTTGTGTATAAAGGAGAAACACTACTATTTCTACTTTTCAAGCTATAATTCTCTTTTGGGTCTCAATTTACTATTTTTTCAACGGAGTAGAGTGTTATTCACTTTATATGGTATGCTATATATTCTATATGTCAGTACTTTTTTTTACAATTTCATTCATAGAATAAACATGTTCTTTCACTTTGTTAACTTGATAGTGTGTATTTTTTTTCCTATAAAAACATTCAATATTGACTTATGTTATTCTAACAGTCGCATAAATTAGTTGGTGAGAAACAAACATCCAGAACACTGACCTGATTAATATGTAAATAACTCTGCCAGTTTAAGATACAGAAACAACTATTTTTTCTTCCTACCCCCACTGGCTTTAGTTTTCTTGTTATCCTCTTTAGCATCACTAGCCTTAGTTTTCTTGTTAGCCCCTTTAGCATCATTCACTGGTGTTTCCTGTATAAGAAAAGAATGTGTCAAACCATGGATCTAGAAAACCAACACGATGCGCCATTTATTTCTTTTCATTATCTTTAACATAAAAGCAGTATCTTTTTTTGGCTTAGTTAAACTATTAGCAGATATTTTGAAAAGGTTGTTCCTTCGTTAAGGTTCTTGTTAGAAGACATGATAATATTGATATTCTTAGATTACCTTATAGGAGTAGTCTCTTTTTTATAAGTATCTTAGACTAAATCGGGATATTACTTTTCATATTTATCTTGTTATTATCTTAATTTGTTTCTCATGGTAGGATTTGAGTATTCTATTAACTTAGTACTTGGTTGTTATTAACTTCTTACATAAAAATGGTTATGAGTTATTAAATAAATTGGCTGAATGTTGTGATTTAATGGTTATTTTGTCCATGAATTATATATATTACGTGTTAGGAAATATGGATCGAAAATGGATGTTTGCTAGTCGAGCGTCAAAAGAATACGAAGATGGGGTTCAAGAGTTTGTTAGGTTTGCTATTGCTCATGCCGAAGACACTAGTAAAATCATACGCCCTTGCTTAAAATGTTGTTATACGGATGTTAATGCAAATGTTTTGGAAGATCACTTAATATGTAATGGAATTGATAAAAGTTATACATGTTGGATAATGCACGGAGAAAAAAAAACCAAGTCAACAAAGAGGAACAATGGGAGAGATAAATCAAATGATTTTGAACAAGATACAAATTATGAGTTTGATCGAGTTGAAGAATTTGTGAATGTAATTGAAGAAGATCTTTGCGATTGTCCTCAAATGTTTGAGAGGCTAGTAAGTGATGCAGAGACTCCATTGTACGAAGGATGTACTAAATTTACAAGATTGTCTGTGGTCTTAAAATTGTATAACTTAAAAGCACGCCATGGATGGTCTGATAGGAGTTTCACAGACTTGTTGACTCTGTTAAATGAGATTTTGCCTAAGAGTAATGTTCTCCCTAGTCGAACCTATGAGGCTAAACGATTGTTATGTTCTATTGGAATGAGTTATGAGAAGATACATGCTTGTCCGAATGATTGCATGTTATTTCGCAACGAGTATGCATCATTAGATATGTGTCCTAAATGTAGTGCCCCACGATATAAGAAGAAAGAAACAACTCCAGCCAAAACGCTATGGTATTTTCCGATAATACCAAGATTTAGGCGCATGTATCGTAATGCGGAAGATGCAAAGAACTTAACATGGTATGCAAAAGAAAGGGTTGTTGATGGAATGCTCCGACATCCTGCAGATTCTCCTCAATGGGAAAAAAAATTGATCATGATTACCCAAATTTTGGGCAGGAAGAAAGAAACCTACGTCTTGCAATGTCTACTGATTGTCTTAGAATATTAGTGAGATTGATGATTATTTAATTGCACTCTAATTTTGTTATAGGTTCAATGGAATGCAAGAGGTCAACCAATCAAGCATAATAGCAAGAGTTTTGCTAGTTATATTGGTGTCACAGTTCGTCGGTTAGTTCCAATTAGTTTGGACAATTGGAGTGCGAAAGAAAATAAAGAGGCTGTAGGGGTTTATAAACAAAACATTTGGGATGAAATTGAAGTAACACACTAACTCAAGCTTGTTGTAAAATTTTAATTCCATAATTTATCTATTTGGATGTTTAAGTAACCTGAACAGTGTTTTAATAAATTGAGTTGTTTGCAGAAAGCTTTTATAATTGGCGAAGAACATCGTGCATATATATATAAAGAAGCTGGAAGGTTGCACAGGGCATTCAGGACAAAGTTGGCAAAGTTCTATCTAAGAGATAGTAAGGGTGATTTTGTTAAACATCGATCGACAAAATATTCTTACTGTATAAAACAAGAGGATTGGGATAAATTTGTAGCTCAGCGTCAGAATGAAAAAATTCAGGTAATAACTTGTCATTATTTATCTCTCCTCTTATGCCTATGTAATAGCCTCCGATACCGTACCGTCCGTAACGGATACTAGAGGGACAAACTGAATTAGATACCTTGTAAAATATTTCATATATGCCTCATTTTCTTAACCTTATTTTGTTGTTGGGTTGAAGATGAACACCAATTAAATACATGATTGGTATTCCGCATAATTATACATTTGAGCATCATCTAAAATAAGTTAGTTCACCACGAAGTAGTGTGATTTAGACCTTGATAGAATCATACTTTTCACCCAATATACCGCCCTTCTGTTTTTGAAATTGAATGTACCTCAGTGTGCTAGCAAAGAAAGCATCTGAACCTGGAAGAACCGATGCAGAGTCGCTCTGCATCTCAGTCTTGATTAATTCTATAAGCCCCTAAATAGTAGAACTAGTGATCTGTGGATTTCCTTTCTCAGAATAGTATATGTACCTGGAACATAACTAACCGTCAGTAAAAAAAGCCATGAAAATAGTACACCAAACAGTTAATAGCTGAGGGTGACTGACTTATTCAGTATTTCAACAAAAAGCGTAACTGGGCCGCTGCTACCCCTGGCTACACTGGCCACTTGTATGTACTACATCAATGATGCAGTGACATTACATTTGATAAATAATGCAATAATGTGATATGGATGCAATTGTGGGAAAGCAATATCAAAAGAGGAAGACCTCTAATTCTGCTGTTGACTAGAATTAATTCTGTTGAGTAGGATTTAATTGTTTATTTATTTAATTTTTATAAGTTAGCATAACAGAATTTTTAAATTTGAATTTAAGTAATTTTAAGTAAATTTAAATGATAGTAATTATAGTGCTTTTAATGCAGAAAGTTAGTAGTGAAAATCGAGAAAGAGCGTTAAATCCTCAACATCCCTATAGAAAGTCATGTTTAGGGTGTGCTCGTCTTGAAGCTGATATGGTAAGTATGTGTATAAAAGTAGTGTACAAGATTATAAATTATTTTTTTAATTGCTATGTTAATTTGTCAAAATGTATATACAGGTAGAAGAGTCGGGAGAAGATGAGATAAATCGCAGTCAAGTGTGGAAGGCTGCCCGCGTCAATAAGAATGGGGTGATTGATAATGAGAATGTTCAAAGAGTTGTGGATCAATGTGTAAGGCGAATGTTAATATTTTGGATCATTGAAACTATTTTGGATCTCGGTTAATTTTAATGAAAGTGTTCAAATTGATTTTCCTTTAATAAGTCTTTTATACTTATCGATGTCAGGAGAAGTTAACAGAAGCTATAACTGAAGAAGAGAGACAAGACCTTGGTCCTACGGACATATTATTTGAGGCTCTAAATCTCCCAAACTACTATGGGCGTATTAGGAGTTACGGTTTTGGGGTATGTTCTAAGGACATATTTCCACGCCAAATTCGCCCCACACAAATGGACTTTCAAAGATTGTATGGCTTTTGCAACACACTCAAAAGTAGATTGGAGGTGCTAGAGAGAGAAAAGCTGGAGAGAGATAAGTTGGATAGAGAGAAGATAGAGAGGCAAAAAACCGAAGAAGTGGCCGAGAAAGAACAACCTGAACAAGTGTCAAACAGCTTGCAACAACCTGAAAAAGGGGCACAGGGCTTGCAACAACTTGAAGATGTGGCAGAGAGGCAACAACCTGAACAAGTTTCAAAGAGCTTGCAACAACCTGAAAAAGGGACACAGAGGCAAGAGTTAAGTGATAAAGGTTCTTGCAACCCTGGATCATTCGATAATATTCCCGAGGTAATTCAAAGCAGTTCATATATGTTTGTTTTGTAAATAATGATATTAATGTTTTTATTCGTATCTCATTGGTTTAGGGTCTCTGTTTTTATTCAGAGCTATTTTGAACAAATAACCCAACCAACCAATTTTGAACAAACAGGAAAACTAACAAAATTCCAAAATCTAACACTGAAACAAAACCCTCAAATTATCAGTCAGCCTTGGAAACGGTAGCGGCAGCCTTCCATCTAAGTTCCCCAGTTCAGCAATAAGCCCAACTTTCTGTCCAGGACAAGCATCACGTCTAACGGCATTAGCATATCCGATATGGTGGTGATTATCTCCTCCGTGGGGACGTCCAATACGCGTGTTGTTGCTGTTAATGACGGAGGGAGATAGCGGATTTGTTGTATGTATTGAGGATGGCATGTGATGAAGCTTGATTGAGAGGTTGGATTGTGCCCATAATGATGGAAGTTCACATTGGTTTTTGTGTGGAAAGGAAAGTGTAATGGAGTTGTTTTTTTTGTTTCTACAGTGTATCGTGAGAGAGGATAATGGAAGAGAGTGTGTCGTGAGAGAGGATAATGGAAGAGAGTGTATCTTATGTTTGTCAGCATTGTGGAAGGTTGATGGGAATATGGTTGAAGTTGTCCTTGTCTATTACGTAGGAAAAACAAAAAGTGAAACATGCTCTTAAACACACATACTCACATGGCACTCGATATACTCACAAACATCACTCACTTCCACTGCACATGTTAACATAACCATGCTATACTACTTAAACTGGGATCTACTGGAAGAAGATAAATGCAATTACAATATATCTAATTGGTATCAGAACATATGGGCCAAGATGGATATGAAAAACCATGATTTCAGAAGAAAATCTTTTGACAATAGAAAAATGATCTTTGTGTCGGTACAGTCAGTGTCGGTACAGTCAAAGCAGTTCATATATGTTTGTTTTGTAAATAATGATATTAATGTTTTTATTCGTATCTCATTGCAGGGTCTCCTTCCTGTTAATATATATTTATCATCCCCGAGTCGGTGTTTGGTTGCTCGTGGCAAACTATATAACACCAAAGGTAACACAGTGCACGGCATGACGTTACCACCTGGATATGTCAAGGTTAATATCGAAGTTGCTATTGTGCCAAATGCTCAATTTCCTATATCTGTTGAAGGTGGTGGATGTATCGATGGTTGGTCAGGCAATAGGAACAATTGTGCCATGGCCAATGAACCTTCTTGAATTTGTTGCTGAACGTGAAAAGGTAAATTACTTATTATTAACTTGCTTGATCGTTATTTGTTTTATTATTTGATCACTAACCTTAATTAATAAAACTTTTTAGAATCCTGATCAATCCCAAAACAAAGTTAAGAATACCCAACGAAGTGTTGATTCTGTTTCGTCACCTAACAAAAGCAACATAAAATTCAAAATTGAAGAGTCTCCTAGAGTTTGCGGTTCAACCAATCTTGTAAATTTACCTTTCCTTGATATGTATGTGAAAAAGATGATGAGGGTTGGATCGTTAATTCAAATAAAAATGGAGAAAAGTATATTTGGTGAGGAGTTTATAGAGCATCTACGTGTAGAGAGTATAAAAGAGATTCTTGATCACAATTGGTTAAGTGCCTCTGTTATCACTGTATTTTCCAGGTACCTCTATTATTACAAATTTCCTCTAATCTGACAAATATATTAATATTTACATTGTTGACAAATATATTAATACCAATTATTAGTGTTCATTTCTAGGTATTTGTATGACAAGTTTATTAGTCCAAATGGATTAATAAATAAGTTCTCCTTCATATCCCCACATGTATCAAGGGAGGATAATCTAGGAAATGTTATAGCAAAAATACTTCTGAAAGACGAGGAGTACTTCAAGGATAAGATGATTCTTACACCTTGCAATCTAGGGTGAGTTTTCTATTCAAAATGTTATTAAATTTATGAGAAAAAACTATATAAGTATATTATATGCATCAATATTATATGTATTGCAATGGAAGGTGAAGTATCCAAGTTCTGAGTGTATTGCAATATTATATGTGTTGCAGGAAACATTGGGTACTACTTGTCATCAATCTCGATGTTGAGGTGATATATTACATGGATCCGTTGAATGGTGAACCAACTAAACATCAAAATTTAAAAACCAAGTTTGAGAAGTAAGTATAGACTCTTTTAATTTAACATTTATATAAGTATTCTTAGTTATAATAATTACTCATTTGAAGTTAATTTCATTTTGTTAGTGCATTGCAAATTTATCGTGCTAATAGTAACTATAAAGTGCCTAAAGTCTCCAAGTCAAAGAAAATTTCATGGTCAAAAATTCGGGTATGTCCAAATTAACATTATTTTAAAACAATTATGTAGAGTAAAAGTAATATATGTAAATGTTTTTTTGCAGTGTCCCCGTCAAATTAATAGCATTGACTGTGGATATTTTGTAATGCGATTTATGAAAGAGGTCATCATGGAAAATGAAATTATGATCCCCATAAATGTACGTGATTTTAATTGTTAAAGCTTTGTAAATTAATATAACTTAGTTCTAATACAATTGTTGATGTTTTTATATTTGAAGTACTTTCCTGACCACAAGTGTCGTACCTACTCTAAGGATAAGTTAACTGAGGTCAAAGATGATTGGGCTACCTATATGGTGGATGATATTTTCGGTAAGCCTACAATATATAGATACAATTAATACCTTACTTGCATATTAAAAGTTTGATTTGGTTGTACCATTTTGATCACTTAAGGTGTTCACAAATTAAAAGTTCATTAGTTGTACGTGATTTTTATGTTCAACTCATTTTAAATGTACGTGATTTTTATGTTCAACTCATTTTAATGGACTAGTGTTAGGTAAACTGATGTTCTTTTTTAATTATATATTAATATTTTGTTTTCAGGTTTTTGTTTTCTGATTATTGTATAATATACATAATCAATATTCTTTCTATGATGCAGGAAAACAAGAAGCAATGATTTTGCCTATCTAGCTAGCAAACTGGTTGTATCTTTGGATGTAGCAGTGTTTTGGTTGGCAAAGTGGTTACTAGCTAGTTGATGTTGTTTTTGTTGTCCTTAATTTTCTTGTTTTTTTAGATGTTTTTTTTCATTAGTTTAGAGAATATGCCTAGCTAAGTGATTGTATTTTTTGTTTAGAATTTGGTTTGAAGTACTCTTAGCCAAATTAATAACTACATGACAAAATACTTTAGTTGTGTTTATAAAATATTTTGGTTTGAAGTACTCTTAAGCCAAATTAATGGTATCACATTTGTCATTATTATTTTAATTTCAAGTATTTTAGCTACTTAATTAGTTATAATTATTTTATGAATTTTAATGTTGTAAAATGCAAATGCCATATATATATATATATATATATATATATATATATATATATATATATATATATATATATATATATATATATATATATATATATATATATATATATATATATATATATATATATATATATATATATATATATATATATATATATATATATATATATATATATATATATATATATATATATATATATATATATATATATATATAATGATTTGGTGTAAAAAAAA